ACAACAACAACCACGACAACATCGACGACGACGAGCGCCCTGAGTGCGACGACAGCCTCAGGTGTAGCGGCAGCAGCAGCGGGTTTTCCGGCTCCGTGGCCTCCGTCCCCCGATCAGGCTCCAGGGGCTCCGTGGGATCCAGGGACTCCGTGGGTGGGCCGTCGGGGGACCGGCGGCCGGGGGAGAGGTGCTCCACGGCCGATGCGGCCCTCGGCGGCGGCGGCGGCGGCGGCGGCGGCAGGCGGCGGGAGCGGGGGCAGAGGAAGGCGCGGTCCCCGCCCAAGCGCCGCCTGAGCATGAGCATGGTGCTGCCGGAAGGGCCGGTGAGGAGGCACCGGTATCAGCCCCCGCCCACGGTGCACAGCTACCTCAACAAGATGAACGCGGAGGTGTGTGTGTGTGTGTTGCGCGAACCGGCTGAAAAATGAAAAGACGCCAGTCTCAGTGCGGTTGTGTGTGTATTTGTACACCAGAGAGAGAGAGAGAGAGAGAGAGAGAGAGACAGACAGACAGAGAGAGAGAGAGAGGTGATGTGCGTGCGCGTGTGCGTGCGTGTGGTTGTGATGGCGAAAGGGGCGCGGATCGTTGTCATAGTACTCGAGTTTGCATTTGTTTCTCTTGTATCCAAGTATCCGTGGAGTATCCTTTTCCGTAGCAATTGGAGGAAACAAATGGTGCTTGCTGTACTGGAGGCGTACTCGTCGTCCAATGTTCTTCACAACCCCACGTTTCGCTGCACACCTCAAAACGGGCCAAGTTCGAACTGTGCTTTTTGTCTTCCTCCCTGCCTCCACCCCTCCCCAAAACGTATCGATATGACGAAACGACGTGGCTTTCGCGCAAACCGCCACTAACCCCCTTCTCACTCAAAATACATGAATACGATGACTTTTCAGGAGTTCGACTACCACGGGGACACCAACAAGCAGCTGGCACGGGCCATGAAGGCATTCAGCAGCAGCTTCGCGAGGGCCAACCGCCGCAAGCTGCTGAGGAAGCACTTCTTGGCGTTCGATGTCAACAACACCCGGAGGATAAGCCGGGCGCAGTTCGTCGAGACGGTCAACGAGGTAGCGTCATGCCGCTCTTGCTGTTGTTGAGGCGTCTCGTCGTTGATCTTGTTGAGACTACCGTTGTAGTTGGCGTTGTTGTGACTGTTTCAATTTACTCTCACCTGATATGTTATGTCGGTGTTTTCTTTGAAGTGTGAACTGTTCCGACTTCTACCCAACACCTCTTCGTATCAATCGGACCTTTTAGAACAACGTATCGGCGGTCGCCACGCTACTTCCAACCAACACACTCCAAACCAAGGTACCAAAAACATACGACCACGAACCGTACCAACTGCTGATAGAGACCCTCTAATTTCGCAACCATCCAAACTCACCACGCCGACTACCACCGAGGTCAATGGTCAAACGACTACGGCATGCACGGCTATGAGTACACCCCCCCCCTAAACCACGACGCAGGTCGCTTCTGAGTTTTTCATCGACTTCGACAGCCGGAACAAAGATCTCCTCGCCGCTTTCTTCTTCCCCAAGGTACGTCAACGAACCAACCAGGACGGGATCAAAACGTTGCCTCTAGTTTTAAGGTCGGCGAACAGCTTGCTTCTCGTTGGAGGGAAAATAAATGCTTCCAGAGTAGCTATAACAGTTTCGACGACGTTTAGAAACAAAACTCCTGCGTGGCCTTCCTCCTGTATGACCCCGGCTGGTACGACCAGAAAGCATACCGAAAGATACATCAGCTGCATCTTGGAGTATATTTCAAGGTGTCCGTGACTGCTTCTGCTGCCCTCATTGCACCTGTACTGTGGCGTTTTGCGTTAGGACCAGGGCTTCGATGAAGCTTTGGAGTCTCTCTGTCGATAAACAGTGTGTAGAGCGTTTTACCATGTATGGCATTCTGGGCAACAACGACACTTAGTCCCCTCTACGGGACCTTGATTGTTGCCCGATGACACCTTCGGCTTCTCAAATGGTGAACCCGCTAGCCACGGTCGGTGTTAGCTAAAGCACACACGCACACACGACGTTTCTTTTGCCGAACAGTTACCTGTAGCTACAATATGCAGAACAGTGTTAGAAACAAGAATAAAACAAAAAACGTAACGCGATCCATGCCTCGGAAGACGCACAGCAGGTAGGTACCCTATGGAATGGGGTATTCGTGCCCCGCGTAGACCGATCTTTCAGGCTCGATTGCCCTATAAACAACAGGTGGTGACAGCCGACGGAGCGTCTAGCGTACCCCCCTATGAACCAATCTTTCAAGAACCGCTATTTTTCGGAATCGACACCCTTTGATACTTGGTCGGAGACCAATCGAGCCTTGAAAGTCGTATAATAGCGATGACCAGCGAACCTACTTATGGTAGACACCGATGGTATTTGGGCGCGAAAAAGAGTGACACAAGAAGAGAAACGAAAATCAAAACCGCGAGCCCTCCTCACGCTCCCTCGTGGAACTCCTACCGTGCGCCTTCTTGCTCCCAGGAGCACGGCAGGGTGGAGTACGAGACCCTCCTGGAGATCATCACGGCCAGGGACGTCCGCCGCGCGCGCGCCTTCAGGCAGCAGACCGCCGAGGAGGGCGCCGACTTCGACGAGCTCTTCACCGGCGTCGACAACACCGCCAGAAAGAGGGACTTCGGGGGCACGCTGGTGGGTGAAGGATGGGCTTGCGCGCGTAATTATTAGAAACGGTCCGTTGGAGGAGCGGTGTGTTGAGGGTCCTCGGAACTTTCCTATGTATTGTCATCCGCCCATCACGGGCGGGTCGGGCGGTAGATAGCTATGTAGCCCGGGTGATAGGGTTGGAGTTGTTGGTGGTGGTGACATTGTTCTGGCTGCTGCACGCCAGTAAACAATCGGTGCAGAGAGGGTTTTCCTGGGAATGCTGACCACAGCACGCTTTCATGTCGTTTTAGGTGCGGTTGGAGTGAAAGGAGAACAAACGCGAGGTTCTGTGAAGATGACAGCGAAATATCAACAGCAATAACAACAACAGATGCAGGTATACAGGAATGTGCTTGTGTTTGTTCCTAATGGTGCAACAGACGTGCATCACCGCCGTGTGCCCAACCCTAAACGAGACCATACCCCTCTCTCCACAAACGCCCGCCCCCTTTTACGTACCCCCGGTGAAACAGAACCTTTTCGCAACGGCGTACTGACGGGACCAACCGGTGGTGATCTGGTGTGCTAGTTGCTCCACTCCCTGTCGTGGTAGCATGGGGTCGGGTTGAGAGAGAGAGAGAGAGCGGTTTGAGAGGGCACCTCTCCCTTGTCTGCGCCAACAGCGCGATCGGCCCCGTCACGAGGGCTCGTAAAAGCTTCAAAAATAACGTCTGTCGCGCCCGTTGGGGGTATGTCGGAGGAGCACGCCTCCATACGCAAAACTCCTCCGCGAGGGTGTATGTTGTAGCACGGGAGGAACTAGGCGGGGAGGCGCGCCTGGAGTGCGGGAGTCCATGAACTCTTTACACCCAAGAGGCAGGCTATGCGACAAAGGTAACAATCATCTCAGTTCAGCTGTGATAATAGTAGATGGTGT